TTCTTCTTCTTCTTCTTCTTCTTCTTCTTCTTCTTCTTCTTCTTCTTCTTCTTCTTCTTCTTCTTCTTCTTCTTCTTCTTCTTCTTCTTCTTCTTCTTCTTCCTCCAGAGGTTGGTACCCCAAGGTCCATCTAGATTTCAGGGAAGATGCTAGGCCCAGAGACTGAGTGTGGTGCAGAGGATAAAGTGTCAGACTAGAACCTGAGAGACTGAAGTCTGAGTCCTTAGTGCCATGGAAGCCAGCTGGGTGAATCAGGGCCTCTCACTCTCAGCCTAGCCTACCTCACAGAGTTGTTGCAGGGATAAGAGGAAAGAGGAAAGAATGGTGCTTTAAACTGCTTTGGATCCAACTTGGGAAGAAAAGCAGGGTATAAAATATAAAGAAAAAGAAATCAAATCAAGTACATCAAAACCTGGTAAAATTAGGCACCAGCCAGGGCTTGCTAGTGGTTACTGTGGTTTCCAACTCCAACTTGGGAAACTCCTGGAAATTTGGAGGCAGAGCCTGGGGAAGGTAGAGTTTGGGGAGAGGAGGGAGCTCAGCAGGGACGTAATGCTCTCCAAAGCTGCCATGTTCATTACAGAGACTGATCTCTGTCATCTGGAGAGGAGCTGTAATTAGGGTTGCCAAACTCCAGGTGGCCTTGAAGTCTCCTGGAGTTACAACTGATCTCCAGATGACAGAGATCAGTTCCCTTGTAGAAAAGGGCTGCTTTGGATGTTGGACTCCATGGCAGGGGTCCCCAACTTTTTTTGGAATTTTGAAAGTGTGCAGTGAGCACCATTCCAACATGACTGCCACAGGAGGCAGAAGGACATACAAATACAAAAAAATAATTAAATACAAAATAATGTAAAACAATAAAACAAAACACATGAGTGGGAGGAAGGGTCAATGAGAATAAGTGAGGGGATGCCCGACAAAACAAAACTGTCTTCATTAACTTGCACAAGACAATGATAGATGGGGACAGACAAATCTCCCTGGTAGAGCCTGGGGAGGGCAGGGTTTGGGGTGTGGTGGGACCTCAGCAGGGTACAATGCCATAGAGTCCACTGCCCAAAGCAGCCATTCTCTCCAGGAGAACTGATCTTGGAGATCTCCAGGTGCTGCCTGGAGGTTGGCAATACTAAGGGGAGGGCCAGACCTGTAGATCTGAGGGGTAGAGCCTGGGGAGGGCAGGGTTTGGGGTGTGGAGGGACCTCAGCAGGGTATAATGCCATAGAGTCCACTGCCCAAAGCAGCCATTCTCTCCAGGAGAATTGCTCTTGGAGATCTCCAAGTGCTGCCTGGAGGCTGGCAATACTAAGGGGAGGGCCAGACCTGTAGATCTGAGGGGTAGAGCCTGGGGAGGGCAGGGTATGGGGTGCAGAGGGACCTCAGCAGGGGATAATGCCATAGAGTCCATTGCCCAAAGCAGCCATTGTAATAGCCATTGTAATAGCTAACCGTTTAAGGGAAGATTGGGATATGTATTTTGACAACTCCAGTGACCATTTAATGGATGATTGGGACATGTATTTTACCTCAGAACACATTGAATGACTCCCAAAAGCAATAGCAAACTGTTTAGAGTGTTAGAGGCAAAGGCCAATCAAGCCGCATATGCAATTGACCTCTGTCTTCCGACTGGCTACTGGGGGAAGAGGAACAGCAAACTGTTTAGAATATTGGAGGCGAGACTCAGGCAACGCAACCAGTGGATAGGGACAGCTTCTGAGTGACACATCACGGAGCCAACTGATTTGGGAGTGTGTGGAATGTTCACACCAAATACATTGTAGCTAAGAGGAGCTACCTGGATTAAGCAATATACTGTGACTACTAGTTTTTTACAGGAAGTCAATAACACGTGGCTAATAATTTGACTGGGGTAGCTGTGTTAGACCCATTGCAGAGAAATTCAAGAGAAGTCCAATGGCACCTTAAGACTAACAACATAGCTCACTTCGTCAGATGCATGAGAAGTATCACCATATAAGATCTATTTATACTTACAAGCAACAGATAGGCAGGAACAGGGAGACATTACAGAGGGGCCAGTTTTTGTTTGCCTTTCAGGTGCCACTGGACTTCTGTTTAACACCCTCAGCATTGCCATACCTGTAGCAGCTGGATGGTCATTGTGCAGTTATTCAGTTTCTTCAACAGATCAAGAGCTCCTTCCTAGGGAGAAGGGGAAAACACACTGGACATCTTGGTTGATTTATTTCACACCAGATATTTTTAATGCACGGTGGGAATTGTCACATCCAACTGAGATGGTTCTTATAAATGCCAAGACAATTTTGGTAAGGTCCCTTCCTGATAGGACCTATTGATAATCACTGTAGGGATATCCCTTGGGTCACTCCAGGCAAGAATAAATCTGCTTGTAAGTAAGGGTCCACAAAAAGCTTTGGATGTGCCATATGTGGGTTAGCAGTGGCACACCAAAACACAGATCCAGCAAATAGCCAATATGGTTCAGCTAGAATGTGGGAGACCCAGCTTTAAATTCCCATTCTGTAATGAGAGCTCATGGAAGCCAGTTTCTCTCAGTCTAACCTACCTCACAGGGTTTTTGTGAGGATAAAATGTTGTTATAAGCCACTTTGAGGCCCCACTGGGGAGAAAATAGGGGTATAAATATCAAATAAATAACCAGCAACAGATGCATTCTGCTGGATAAGAGATACATTAGAAGTCACAGAGAACTGGATTTTTTCTGTAAATCCCATTCACCTGGTGGTGTTTTTTTGTTTTGTTTTTTTATTTCATAAAAAAAGCAAGATACGATACAGGATTCAAAGAGTTAAAACATATAGCATACAGTAAAGTAAAGGTAAAGGTTCCCTTGCTCAAAAGCCAGTTGAGTCCGACTCTAGGGTTGCGGTGCTCATCTCCGTTTCAAAGCCGAAGAGCCAGCGCTGTCCGAAGATGTTTCCGTGGTCATGTGGCCGGCATGACTAAACACCAAGGCACACGGAACGCTGTTACCTTCCCACCGAAGTGGTACCTATTTATCTACTTGCAATTTCTTGCTTTCGAACTGCTAGGTTGGCATACAGTACCTGTCATGTAATAATAGGAACTTTTGCATCTATAATTTTGGAGAACAATAATCTAATCCCATAACATCTTAATACTGTTTTAGTCCTATGCTCTGGGCTATTTTGGGGCAGGAATACAGAGGAATGGAATTCCGGCTGGCTTCAGAGTTGGCCATGTTCACTACAGCCAAAACCTCTGCGTGCGTGGCTACAGAGGGAAGGCCTGGAGAGTGACCCCCCCAGTGACTCTGAGGTGGGCAGGCCAGGGGGCCCCTGGAGGATCAGGGAGGCATTTAAATGCCTCCCTGTGCCTTCCCCAGCCTGTCCAAGGGCCGGCTTGCCCAGGCAAGCCAAGGGAAGGAGTGGGGTGTGGCCTAATATGCTAATGAACTGTGCTGTTAGGGTGTGGCCTATTATGCTAATGAGTTCCTGCTGGGCTTTTTCTATAAAAAAAGCCCCACCTATGCTTATTGACTCCCTTACTTGTATTCCTCTCTTAACATATAAAGCCAACTTTGTCTTAAGGTGTATGTTAACTCAATAAAACAAAAACATAGAAGTTTGATCAACCCAACTATTTTGGCTAATGTTATTTACCAGATCATTTTGAGTCTCTATAAATCGAGTCCATTTCAACATAGCATTCTTGTGTTTGGCTGCTGTATCGTATTGGGCTACCCAATCTGCAATTTTATCAGATATAAAATAGTCCCAGACTTTTCTGTACCAAAGTTCAATTGTGGGAAAGGCTTTGTCTTTCCATTTCATAGCAATGATGCTTTTTGCGGTGGTAAGTAGAACTGAAATTAGTTCCTTGTCCCTGTTAATGATCCAAATTTTGGGCCATAGGGTCAAAAGGATTAAGGCAGGGTCTTTCAGAAGAACATGTCCCATGACCTTCTTAATTTCCTGGAGAACTGATGACCAGAAGTTATTAACTGGTGGACACTGCCACCAGCTGTGAAAAAAGGATCCATGGTTGCCACATAGTTTCCAGCATAAAGGGGATTGTGACGGGAACATATGAGGTAGCTTGGCTGGCGTTAAGTAGCATTTAAGAAGAATTTTAGTTGAGATCGTATAGGAGAATATCTTGAATTATAGACTGAGGAATCACAGATTTGCAACCATTGTTTTTCTGAAAGAGTCTTTTTTCTGAAAGAGTCTTTTCTAAGTCTCTGTGCCATGCTTCTTGGGATGGTGTAAGATTGAATTGAGGTTCTGATAAGAGTGGTTTATAAATAATTGAAATTGCCCCTTTCTTATAAAAGGATTTTGAAGTCAGAAGTCTTTCAAAAAATTTAGAGGCCTATCAAAGTTTTCTTTAGGTGAATGAAACAAATGCGATATCTGCAAATATTCAAACCACGGCAGAGTGGTTCCAATGTTCTAGATCGTTCCAATGTTGCTTTTTCTAATATTTTTCCATGTTTAGTTATATCATTTGAATCTAGTTAGATTTGCAGACCTCCATTTAGGAAATGAATCAGGGTTGTGGCCTGCAGTGAACCAAGATTGCCCAAGGAAATTAATAATTGGGGTCACCATAGGTGCCAGAATGTTTTTAAAACTATCCCATGTTTTAAAAATGGCACTTAAAAAGTGATGAGTAATATGTTTGTTTTGTCTGAAGTTGAGCGGTCTCCAGAGTGCTTCTGGGAAGGAACTCATATGAAGATACATGTCCTCTAAAAGCTTCTAGTTCACCTTGTATGAATGATGGTATTGCTTGACTAAGCTGGAAAGGTTAGTTGCTGAATAATATAGATTGAGGTCAGGAACTGCTAGTCCCCCTTGAGACCTAATTTTACGAATTGTATGGAAGTTCACTCTGGGTTTGCGGGATTGCCATATAAAGTCATTTAAATTTCTTTGCCATAATTTAAGAAGGCGTTGAGAGATACTTATGGGTAGAGCACGAAAATAATATAAACACTTTGGCAAAATGAAGGGCTTAATTATATTAATACGCTCAAACCAAGTTAGGGTTTTGGATTCCCAAGTTTTGAGTAAATTACGAACATTGTCATCCATTTCAGTGTTGTTATATCTTAGGATGTCCTTTAAGTCATTGTCATCCATTTCAGTGTTGTTATATCTTAGGATGTCCTTTAAGTCTAGTGGAATTTCTACTCCTAGATAGTGCCAATATTGTTTGATCCATTGAAATGAATAGTGTTGCTTCAAATATAAAGATATGTTTGAAGTAAATTCAATGGGGTATAATATAGTCTTGGATTGGCTAATGTGTACTCCTAACACAGAGCCAAATTCAAAAAGAGATTGAAAAAGAGCTAGTATAGTTATTGTTGGGTTTTAATTGGCAACTTTTCACCTGTAAGCCTGAAATCAACGTGGTATTACGTATAATTGTTACTAGTGGCTCTATAGCTAGGGTGAAAAGTGGGATAAGGGACATCCTTGCCGGGTTCCTCTATTTAATACAAATTAATTAGAATATAACTTGTTAATATATAAGCTAGCTGTAGGGGAAGTGTATATAGATTTTATTGCATGTATAATTTTTTTTACCAAAATGCATTTGATCTAACAAACGTATAAGATAATCAAATTCGATGGAATCAAAGGCCTTTTCTGTATCTAAAGACAAAATTAAAGAGGATTGTATTTTGTGGGGTTTACAATAATGAATAATGCCTATGGTTTTCCTTATATTGTCTGTAATGTTGTGTTGAGGTATAAATCCTGTCTGATCCTGATGTATGTAATTGGATATGATCCGATTGAGCCGTGCTGATAGAAGAGATGTGAATAATTTATAATCATTGTTCAAAAGAGATATTGGATGGTATGACTTGGTGTTCACTTTATCTTTACCTGGCTTGGGTAAAACTATAATTTTAGCTGACTTCCATATTGGAGGGATAGTGTTTTTATTCAAAATATAATTAAACGTATCTGTTGAGGGTTGGGCTAATAATCTTTTATAATCTTTTATAATATTCCAATATGAAGCCATTGGGTCCAGGGGCTTTGTTGCATTTCAAGATTTAATTGTGTCAATTACTTCTTGTGTAGTTATTAGGGTATGTAAGTAATCTCTGTGCGATTCAGCTGTATGGTTTATATAGTTATTATTTTGAAAATAAGCTTGAATTTCATTTTTAGCTGTGGAGGAGGATTCATACAAAGAACAGTAATAGCTGTCAAAGGCCTGCAAAATTTCTGGCAATGAAGTTAATAAGTTCCCATGCTTATCTTACATACAGTTGACTGTACGTTCTACTCTCTTTTGTTTAATTTTCCAGGATAGCAGACATAGAGATTTAGAGCTCTTAAATTTAGATTTGTGTTTCATTAATAGAATATTTTTCTGTACCTAAGAGACTTCTAATGCTTCCAATTTTTTTCTTAGTATTAAAAGACATTGGAAGATTTTTTTTACTACAAGTTCTTTTATGTAAAGCCTCTAGAGTTTGTATTTGATTTTTCAGTTGTGATTGTATTTTAACCTTTTCTTTTTTGTAGGTAGAGGACATCGCTATATATCTACCCCTAACCACGGCCTTTAAAGAATCCCAAACTATTTGGCACTCCACAATCTAAATTATTTTCAAAGAATTATTTAATCTCAGATTCAATTGATGAAAATATAACTGATCATATAATAAAGTTTTGTTTAATGTCCAAGTAAATCGCTTGTGTTTCAGTTCTTCTCCTGCTATAATACATTCTACTGGTGCATGGTCTGATACATGTCTTATGCCTACGGAATTCGATATAACTTTGGGCAATAAAGATTCAGAGATAAGAATATAGTCTATTCTGTTAAAGGAATTATATTTGGGAGAAAAAGGTCAAATCCTTTTCCAAGCCATGTTGGCTTCTTCATATGTCACTTAAAGAGAAGCACTTAAACATCTCATTCAGCGAGTATGAAGTCCACCAACAGGGGGCTCACTCTCCCCCAACAGCTTTTCCTACATAATCAGTAGACTTCCTGGGTTTGTAGAAAAATCCAGAAACTTAAAAAATCAGGGACGGCTGAATTCGCCCCCAATAGAATGTTGGGGGGGGGGGGAGAGAAAGGCTTCTAACTGGCTCTGTCAGTAAAAGGGTGGGGGAAGGGCCCTTTCCAGGCCTCTTTTGGCCTTTCAGGGAGGGAGGAAGGGA